GAGGGATAGTGGTAGGGTGGAGGTTTAGTGGCAAGGTGGAGGCGTAGTGACAGGGTCGAGGGATAGTCACAGGGTCGAGGGATAGTCACAGGGTCGAGGGATAGTCACAGGGTCGAGGGATAGTCACAGGGTCGAGGGTTAGTCACAGTGTCGAGGGATAGTCACAGTGTCGAGGGATAGTCACAGTGTCGAGGGATAGTCACAGTGTCGAGGGATAGTCACAGGGTCAAGTGGTGACGCCAGGATGCCAACAGATCCTTCACCCGGATCCTTGAAGGTCCTTGTGTTAAATGTGTCTAGTAAATGACGTTATATAAATGTACCTAACTGGCTGACTTAAGGTAAAAAACTTAAATAACTTCTAAAAATAATATTATCTTAACACGAGACTCTACTAGACACGTTCACTTACCGTATCTAGTTCAGGTAGATTCTCAGTTAGGTGCACCCTTATTCATGATCCCTCACCAGAAACATTTATCATAAGGTTCTCTGGTTATCTCTACTGGACTCCTCAAGCTGACGTCAGTAAGGATTAACCGGACCTCTCTCCCTGCCATGTGTCCGGGTAGCTCCACGTGTATGAGGGCAGGAACACCTCTGATTGGTTCTTGGCTTTTATACCAGATTATTTTTTAATTTCTGCTAATGATAATAGTAATAATAATAATCAACCCATTATACTACTACCAATAAACAAAACAAAATCGCAACAATCATTCTTGAAGAGTTTCGAAACCTTATACCATGGCGCCAAATTCTCAAGACATCTTAAGCATAGATCTTCCTTCCCTCACCCTTTTTTTTCTTACCCTCCCTCACCTCTCCCTACCCTCCCTTACTCCTCAGAATAAAAAAGAAAAAGAGTAGAGGAATTTTCTCACTGGAAGCTGGAAATCTATTGTGAGCGGGAGGGCGGTATATAGTGTGTGTGTGTGTCTGGTTGGAAGGTGTTGCACTCCTCGTCAGTTCACCTTTAAGTCCCGCCGCCACTGCGTTCCTTGCCAGACTGAGGCTAGGATGGTGACTCACTGGTGTTGGGTGGGGGGTGGATATGATGTCTGTCTGTCTGTCTATCTATCTATCTATCTATCTCTCGGCCTTTCTGTTCTTTTCTCTCTATCACAAATAGTCATCAACAATTACAACAACTATTACTGGATCATTAGGACACGTGGTTACTGGCTCATTAGGACACGTGTGGGTACTGGCTCATTAGGACACGTGGTTACTGGATCATTAGGACACGTGGTTACTGGATCATTAGGACACGTGGTTACTGAATCATTGGGACACGTGGTTACTGGATCATTAGGACACGTGGTTGCTGAATCATTAGGATTGCGTGGTTACTGAATCATTGGGACACGTGTTTACTGGATCATTAGGACACGTAGTTTGCTGAATCATTAGGACACGTGGTCACTGGATCGATAGGACACGTGGTTACTGAATCATTGGGACACGTGGTTTTACTGGATCATTAGGACACGTGGTTACTGAATCATTAGGACACGTGGTTACTGAATCATTAGGACACGTGGTTACTGGATCATTAGGACACGTGGTTACTGAATCATTAGGACACGTGGTTACTGTATCATTAGGACACGTGGTTACTGGATCATTAGGACACGTGGTTACTGAATCATTAGGACACGTGGTTACTGAATCATTAGGACACGTGGTTACTGAATCATTAGGACACGCGTAGTTAGCCCCGGGACGTGTAATTGTGAGTTTGGCTACATCCTGGTGGTGGTGATAGTGGTTGTGGTGTGGGTTGTGGTGATGGTGGTAATGGTGATAGATTATTGTGGCAGGCAGACAGGCAGTAATTGTAATTGGTTTTGGTGGGTTAGTGGGTGGTAGTGGGTGGCAGGGCGGGCGGCAGGAGGGAACATGAACCACCCAGCACACAACCTCACCTTTAAACTGTTGCTAATTTTAGACGCGTATGGAAGAGGTAGTCTCATCCCACCCACACTACCGTAACACCACCCCACACTACCGTAACACCACCCCACCCTACCGTAACACCACCCCACCCCTACCGTAACACCACCCCACCCTACCGCCACCACCCCACACTACCGTAACCCCACACTACCGTAACACCACCCCACACTACCGTAACACCACACCACGTACACCACCCACACTACCACACACCCCACCCCGTAACACACACCCCACACTACCGCACCCCACACCGTACACACACACCCACACTACCGCACTGCACACACACCCCACACCGTAACACCACCCCACACTACTACCCCACCCACACCCACCCTACCGTAACACCACCACCCCACCACCCCACACTGTAACACCACCCCACCCTAACACCACACCCCACACTACCGTAACACCACCCCACACTACCGTAACACCACCCCACACTCACCGTAACACAACCCCACACTACCGTAACACACCCACCCTACCGTAACACCACCCCACACTACCGTAACACCACCCACCCCAACCACCCCACACTACTGTAACACCACCCCACCCTACCGTAACACCACCCCACACTACCGTAACACCACCCCACCCTACGTAACACCACCCCACACTACCGTAACACCACCCCACCACTACCGTAACACCACCACACACCACCCACCCCACCCTACCGTAACACCACCCCACACTACCGTAACACCACCCCACACTACCGTAACACCACCCCACACTACCGTAACACCACCCACACTACCGTAACACCACCCACACCTACCGTAACACCACCCCACACTACCGTACACACCACCCCACACTACCACACACCCCACACTACCGTAACACCACCCCACACACCGTCAACACCACCCCACACTACTGCAAACACCACCCCACACTACCGTAACACCACCCACACTACCGTAACACCACCCCACACTACCGTAACACCACCCCCACACTACTGCAACACCACCCCACACTACCGTAACACCACCCACACTACCCACACACTACCGTAACACCACCCCACTACCGTAACACCACCCACACTACTGTACCACCCCACACTACTACACACCGTAACACCACCCCACACTACCGTAACACCACCCCACCCTACCGTAACACCACCCCACACTACCGTAACACCACCCCACACTACCGTAACACCACCCCACACTACCGTAACAACACTACTCACATACAAGGGGGGGATTTGGGTCGTGTTTACATTAATGACGTCAATGGGGGATACTTCACCTAGTGTCTTGTTTATGTGTTAAATCTCTGTCTTATTCCATGATGCTCTTTTGTTTTCTTATTGTTTGTTCTTGACGTCATAGTGAAGATGTTAGCCATTACGTCCGTGTAAGGGAATGTACGTACGTTGGGTTTGGTTAGGGTTTGGTTAGGGTGATGATGAGGTGGGTTAGGTTAGATTGGGGTTATGATGAGGTGGGTTAGGTTAGATTGGGGTTATGATGAGGTGGGTTAGGTTAGATTGGGGTGATGAAATGGGTTAGGTTTGGTTATTGTGAAGGGAGGAGCTGGGTGACGTTATGTGATGTGTACCCGATATGTAAGATGGGTGACGGGTAAATATGATCTCATGCCCTGTAAGCTGTGTGTAAACTTGTGATACCCGTCCCCCATAACTCATGTACCCGGGTGATTGTAAGTGGTGTTCCTGATTGTAAAGCATTTATTGATGAAGTAACCTATCAGAACTGCTGTAAATAAAACCAAGATATGTTGATATAGAACTAAAGGAAAGTTTAATTTTGTAATGTACACGAGTTTAATAAGGGCTTCTATAGTTGTGTAGTCATTTAAGTGATGGTCTGTTTACTTGTTTATAAATTTTTAACCTAAACTGAACTTTCCTAGCAGCCTCTTCTGACCCTTCCTTCAATATTATCCAAAGTTGTCGCCGTTAGTGGGACAAAAAACATTATTTATTAAAAAATACCGGAGGAATTTTTATTTTTGTTCATGATAAATGTTTAAAATTGGGAAACAATTATAACCACTAATTTAATTCTTGACCTTAGGGGTAAAACAGCGATATATTATAGTAACTCGTATATCTCCGTGGGGACTGGGTACGATGAGGGCCCAGTACCGGGATGACCACAAGGGCGTCAGTACCGGGATGACCACAAGGGCGTCAGTACCGGGATGACCACAAGGGCGTCAGTACCGGGATGACCACAAGGGCGTCAGTACCGGGATGACCACAAGGGCGTCAGTACCGGGATGACCGCATCAGTACCGGGATGACCCTAAGGGCGTCAGTACCGGGGGTAATACAAAGCGTCAGTACCGGGATGACCACAAGGGCGGCGTCAGTACCGGGATGACCACAAGGACGTCAGTACCGGGATGACCACAAGGGCGTTTACATCAGTCACTAATGACTTTATATTATAAACGATTGTATCTTTTATATGTCTTTATATTATATTGCATCGTGGACAGGGTAGGGTAAGACAGGGCAGGACAGGGCAGGGCAGGGTAGGGTAAGACAGGGCAGGGTAAGTGCAAGACAGAACAGGACAGGGTAGGGTAAGACAGGGCAGGACAGGGCAGGGCAGGGTAGGGTAAGACAGGGCAGGGTAGGGTAAGACAGGGCAGGACAGGGCAGGGTAGGGTAAGACAGGGCAGGACAGGGCAGGGCAGAGTAGGGTAGGGTAGGGTAAGACAGGGCAGGGCAGGGCAGACTGTAAACCATACCTCACTTATATTATTATTGTATGGAGAACTATGTGTGTTTTTCTCACGTCCTTAGCTTGTTGCATCTTCGCCGGGGTAAAGTATAAGGTTAGGTCAGGCGTTCACAGCTGTTTTCCTTACACATGCACAATATGTGAACGTCTCCTTTACACACACACACATCTACCTCTATAATGGTGTAAGTCTTCATTCATTGCTTGCTGGTGTTGGTAGCACAAACTCACTTTTGCTTCTCTCCCCCGCGCCTTCTCTCACTCCTGGCTCGCCGCTGGGTCACCTCACACACACAGCCGGGAGCCAGTGACGAGAGTGCGCATGGCCTCGTCACCATCAGGATGAAGCCTGACGAAGGTGGCAAGTTTGGCTTCAACGTCAAAGGCGGCGCTGATCAGAACCTGCCAGTCCTTGTGTCCCGGGTAGCACCTAATACCCCGGCAGACAGGTGCTATCCCAGGCTTAACGAAGGTGACCAGGTGAGTGTTGGTGATGCTTAACGAAGGTGACCAGGTGAGTGTAGGTGATGCTTAACGAGGGTGATCAGGTGAGTAGGTGATGCTTAACGAAGGTGATCAGGTGAGTGTAGGTGATGCTTAACGAGGGTGATCAGGTGAGTGTAGGTGATGCTTAACGAAGGTGACCAGGTGAGTGTAGGTGGTGGTTAACGAAGGTGTGTGTGTGTGTGTGTCATTAAACGTAAAAACCAAAAACATCCGTTATTATATACTGTACATTGCAGGGGCGTATCCAGGGGAGTTTCCTGGTTGCCCGGAAACCCTCCTCGAAGACCACGCTGCTCGTCTGAAGTGTCTTTGATCTGCCGTCATCTCCCTCCCTTACCTGTCATATTTAATCTTAATATGGTCTAATACAAGCGGCTTGATTATAAGACATACTTGTGTGCGGAATTTTGGGTCATGTCAGGTCATAAATTCAGCTTATGACCTGACATGACCCTCAGGACCACTGGCGTCTCCATATAAATGACCAAATTCTGACCCAGGTGTCAGTCGCGAGCTCCTGTTTCAGCTGTGAAGAACACATGCGCACTCTTACATTACCGTGTTATTCCCGTGCGTGTGTAGTCTGATTGTTTGGTTTCTGGTCCACTTTGGATATTCGCAATTTTATGAGCCCGACTGGTGTACAGTCAAAGCCGTCAAGCCTTACCAGGGACGTCACCAAGGAGACTGTGGGTGCATCATCGTCCACCCACATTGACTCTAGTGCAACTGCAAGCATCCCAGTGAGACGTAAGCTACAGTACGATGATGTAAATGTCACTTCTGCATCGAAATGCCCACTGCGAAATCCAAGGAAAATGGAACTTGTTGATATTATTGCAGATGATCATGTGTAACTGCAACGAAGTGATTGCTTAAACAATACAAAATAAAATGTTAATTAACTCAAAATGTAGTAATGATAGCGTATAGATAAGTTACTCTTCATGTGTAATAAAAAATAAAACATGATTTATACGTTGAACTTGCCTTGTAATTTTTCATTTTCAAGTGTCTGTTATGACATTGAATGTTTACTCTCACTCTAAATTACCCCGCGATTATGTTTTCAAATAACCTAATAGCCGTCGCATCTGGCCTCACAAAGTCCGTGTATGGGCTCCCTGCACCCCTGCATTCCTTCCTCCGTCTCATATCAGTTCCAAGAGGCATTAAGGTAAACAAAGAGTGACGTCATCATGGGTGAACATGAAAGAAAACGCGAATGGTAAGCTTAACTAATTTGAATACCTTGTCCCCCTCTGTTCGTCCTGCGTCCGAGACCTTATTGGGCATAACTTTCATAGATTTTTGAGTAGATTGATGTTACATAAACGATAGAAAGGCCATGATTTTATCGGGTTCTCTGTAGATATCGGTGGTTAAAGTTGCGATATCGGAATGCCATAACGATCCCGCCTACGAAATGATTAATGCTATTGTATTGTAACTTTATCCACTGGCTTTACATAGTTGGTTAAAGGTCTGGCTGGTGTGTGAGTGATGAGGTGGCACGCCACATTTCACTAAGTCTGGGGAATGCCAAGATCATTATTAGCTAGTTTGATTCTTCCTCTTATTCAGCAGCTCCATAATGTGATCACTTGATTGTGCATCTCTCTCCCTCTCTCTCGTCATTATATGTTAAAGAAAGATGTTTTAGAGAGAGAGAGAAGAGACACATCCGGAGTAGACACACACACACACACACACACTCCTGGCGTGCTGCGTTCTCACTCATATGTGTGTGTGACTCTGTCGTGTGTGGGCGTCCTAATCATGTTCGGCCAACAGTGGGAAGTGTCCATCGGCATAGCTCAGGATGGCTCAAATCGTCTGGTAAGTAATGTTGAGATGGGATTCAATGGGGTGCCTTACTGTGTGTGTGTGTGGTGAGTGAAAGAATGCTGTCAGTGGGTAATGAGGTATTCTGTTGGTGAATTGAGTTTATCTGGACGAGGTAATTGATAATCTCCTCCTCCTCCTCTTCTTCTCGACGTCTACAGTACGTTTGAGGAGTATTTTCAGCACGCAGTTTGTTTACGTATAATGTTGTGGTGAAAGATATGTGGTGTGTGATGTTTTAGAGGTGATTGGTGGTGTTAATAGGTATCAGAGATGAGGACAGATGTTTGGCAATGCAATTTGGGGTAAGTTAGTAACATTAATACGTGTTTTATTGCATGATGTTGTACAGGTTTAAGAACAGGTGTGTGATGGTGTTTATGTGTTAAGCTAGCAACATTAATACGTGTTTTATTGCATGATGTTGTACAGGTTTAAGAACAGGTGTGTGATGGTGTTTATGTGTTAAGCTAGCAACATTAATACGTGTTTTATTGCATGATGTTGTACAGGTTTAAGAACAGGTGTGTGATGGTGTTTATGTGTTAAGCTAGCAACATTAATACGTGTTTTATTGCATGATGTTGTACAGGTTTAAGAACAGGTGTGTGATGGTGTTTATGTGTTAAGCTAGCAACATTAATACGTGTTTTATTGCATGATGTTGTACAGGTTTAAGAACAGGTGTGTGATGGTGTTTATGTGTTAAGCTAGCAACATTAATACGTGTTTTATTGCATGATGTTGTACAGGTTTAAGAACAGGTGTGTGATGGTGTTTATGTGTTAAGCTAGCAACATTAATACGTGTTTTATTGCATGATGTTATACAGGTTTAAGTACAAGTGTGTGATGATGTGTTGTTGTGTTGCAGGTGCTCTTGATCAATGGGAGGGACGTGTCAGCAATGACCCACGAACAGGTCGTCAACTTTATTCGAGCCTCCAGAGAGTGTCATTCAGGCGAGCTTGTTCTCACCGTCAAGCAGAACGGTACGTGTTACACCACCCTGTGTCTAGTGTGTCATATGTAGGCCCTTGTGTGTCGCCTTGTGTCACATGAAGGCTCTCGTGTGTCAACTTTTGTGTCACATGAAGGCTCTTGTGTGTCAACTTTTGTGTCACATGAAGGCTCTTGTGTGTCAACTTTTGTGTCACATGAAGGCTCTTGTGTGTCAACTTTTGTGTCACATGAAGGCTCTTGTGTGTCAACTTTTGTGTCACATGAAGGCTCTTGTGTGTCAACTTTTGTGTCACATGAAGGCTCTTGTGTGTCAACTTTTGTGTCACATGAAGGCTCTTGTGTGTCAACTTTTGTGTCACATGAAGGCCCTTGTGTGTCAACTTTTGTGTCACATGAAGGCTCTTGTGTGTCAACTTTTGTGTCACATGAAGGCTCTTGTGTGTCAACTTTTGTGTCACATGAAGGCTCTTGTGTGTCAACTTTTGTGTCACATGAAGGCTCTTGTGTGTCAACTTTTGTGTCACATGAAGGCTCTCGTGTGTCAACTTTTGTGTCACATGAAGGCTCTTGTGTGTCAACTTTTGTGTCACATGAAGGCTCTTGTGTGTCAACTTTTGTGTCACATGAAGGCTCTTGTGTGTCAACTTTTGTGTCACATGAAGGCTATTGTGTGTTGCCTTGTATCACACAGAGGTCCTTGTTGTAACCTTGTTGTGACACATATACTGTAGACCCTTGTGTCATAGTCTGTGGCCATGGAAGCAACACACAGGTCACCAAAAGCTCACGTTTTCTATGAAGAGATGACAGTGTTGTGATGCTGTAAAGGTTTCTTGTCACTGTAATAAAGTATCTTGTTCTATGTACGGTGTTTAGATGTCTGTATAGTGTTAAACATCTGAGATATAAGTATTTGAATTATGTGAAGATTAGGCCCTTAACTTATTTCAACCTATTAACTTTCTGGTAATTCTATCGTATATTACCTACAGGATAATTACAGTATATTGAAAACATCATTATCAGTTATTATAAATGAAAGAATAACAGACTTAACGAGATATTTAGGCCGTCTGATTTCCCTCTTCGATATCAACATCATTTCCACTTCCGTTTTCCGTCAGTTGTTACGTGAACCTACTGTAGACTCATTACTTGTTTAAAATCTCCACTCTCACTTAACTTTTAAATGTGGGTTCAATGTTCTTATAAGTCAAGGTGTTTGGATGTATTTAGCTGATAATGTGCAAGAAATAGCATCAGAACTGAAGATGTCAAAATTTATATCACCGGTTGATTTATAGTGTAACACAAGAGGCACGTCCAAAATTAGCATTAGAATTACACTGAGACTCTACCTTAACCAGATACCTTCACTTAACACCAGTTAGGAGACAAAATTAACACTGAGATTCTACCTTAACTAGATACCTTCACCTAATACCAGTTAGGAGACAAAATTAACACTGAGACTCTACCTTAACTAGTTCACTTACAGTACCTCATTAAGGTAGAGACTCTGTGATAATTTTTGATGTCATCCCTGGATGCTATTTCACTGGTTTTCTCTCAAGCAAAGTTGGGTCATTTTTGTATGTCCAGTCCAGGGACTAGTCATCAGTTACCTGTGACCCTGGACTTAGATCTTGCGTACGTGGGAAATTTATCACTGAATACTTACCTGTTTATCTTAATTACTCATAAGCACCTGAGATCCTTATCACATAGTAGACCACACGCAACAACACCCACACTCAATCATACCCACACACCACATCACACCCTCACACCACACCCTCACACACCACACCACATCACACCCACACACACCACACCCCACACCACATCACACCCACACATCCACCCCCACACCACATCACACCCACACACACCACCCACACACCACCTCCACACCCACATCACACCCACACACACACCACACCCACACCCTCACCCACCACCTCACACACACAACCACACCACACCCTCACACCACAACCACACCACACCCTCACACCACACCCACACCACCACACACACCCTCACACCACACTCACACCACACCCACTCACACCACACCCACACCCTCACACACCCTCACACCACAACCCCACACCCTCACACACCACACCCACACCCTCACACCACCACCACACCACACATCACACCCTACCACACCACACCCACATCCACACCCCTCCCCACACCACTCACACCACACCCCTCACACCACACCCTCACACCCACACCACACCCACACCCTCACCACACTCACACCCTCCCACCCACACTCCACACCCCCCACACACCCCTCCACACCACACCCCTCACTACACCTTCACACCACACCACACACCCTCACACTACACCCTCACACCACACCACACCCCTCCCACACCTCACACCCTCACACCACACTCACCACACACCACACCCTCACACCACACCCTCACCACACTACACCCTCACACTACACCTTCACACCACACACCCTCACACCACACCTCACACCACACCACACACACCCTCACACCACACTCCACCACATCCCACACCCTCACACACCCACACCCCTCACAGCACACCACACCCTCACACCATACAAATCCCCACACACCACACCCCTCACACCACACTCACACCCCACACCCTCACACCCCACCACACCATACCCATCCCCACACCTCACACCCACACACCACCTCACACCACACCACACCCCTCACACACCATACCCATCCCCACACCCTCACACCACACCACACCCTCACACCACACCACACCCTCACACACCATACCCATCCCCACACCCTCACACCACACCCTCACACCACACCACACCCTCACACACCATACCCATCCCCACACCCCGGGAAAGCTTCAGTTTATCAGATTGTGATATCATCGTGGGTTGTGATAACGACTCTAATATTCCTTGATTTATGGTTTTTTTATATGAACTTATCATGAACAAATTCACGGTACTTTCTCTCTCTCTCCTGTTTTGTTTAGTTACATTAGAATCGATTACGACTGGTCCTCAGTATTTCCCCGTTAGGTTAGGGCAGGGCAGGGTAGGGCATGGCAGGATAGGGTATGGTTAGGATAGGGTAGGGTTAGGATATGGTAGGGTAGGTTGAGGTAAGTCAGGCCATGGCAGGAGCTGATGGCGTTGTCATGGAGTCTGTTGTCTCTCAGCGGATGTTGAAATCCTGTTACATGTGATAATTGACTCTGGCCTGATATCCATCTTCCTTTGTCTGCCTGTGATACTATTCTTGCTGTTTTTCACCACGGTACAAGTGACAATAACAAAGAAATACAGTACTGTATTCTCAAAAATTATAACTCTTATTAAAAATGTTTATCTGTTGAATTGGCTGTCTTCCGCTAGCAGTCATCAGTCGGCCTTGATAACACATTCATGGAGCAATAAGAAATATGTGTGAAATTCGGTCAGGATTATGGGCATGAAGTGGTATTTCCTCATATTCTTGAATTGTCGTGTCATACCATGTTGGTGAATTTATCCTTCGTCTATATCATTTCTTCTCCATTCATCCTCCTCTTGTTTCATCTTCTCTCCACATCCTTCTCCACTTCCTCTCTTTCTGTTCATTTTCCTCCTCCTCTCATTTCATCTTCTCTTCCTCATCTCCCTGCTCCTCTTCTCCATTCCTGTTTCCTATCTATTCCTTTTCCTTCATTTCTCTTCCTTTTTCCTCTCTTCCTCCTCCTTTATCTCTTCTCTTCTTCCTCCTCCACTTCCAAATTGTTTATCACTGAGGCAAGTTGGGTTAGGTTACGTGAGATTACTTTTACTTAGGTTAAGTTTGAAAGTCAGGTTAAGTCAGGTTAACATCCCCAACACACCATCATACTCGCCCTGTGTACACTATGTGGGCTTCACATGGAGCATCTGGTATGTCAATCACAGTTAGTCAGCTTCCTCTGTTCCAGCCCCTCAGTGACCTTGACCTAACCTTAACGAGACTTAACCTACCTTTAACTTAACCCTTAATGTAGTCTTTAGCTACCTTAACCTAACTAGCCTAATTTAAACCTTAATCTAATCTGTACCTCTCTACCCTATAAGTCAGGCAGGAAGCGAAGTGACGTGTTTTTGATAGGTGATCTTGATACAGCGTGCGAGCAATATTTACATGTTACATAATAATACGTGTACTATCTAACCTTAACCTGATACTGACCTGAACCTTACCTTCACTTAACCTACTTAAACCTTAAACTAACTCAAATTTAACCCATTTTTATATCATAGTTGCGTGGAAATCCAGTACAGTGTAACGAAAACGCAGCTCAGTTATGTGAAATTTTGGTTTGAGAATTGAATAACCTGGTGGTGAATGATGACATGTTATCATCATTGTTGAACTGAGAATAATTGAACAATATAAAGTTGGAAACAAACATATTTCTCTATATTAACATTCATGACCTAAATTATTCGTTTTATCACTTAATAAATTGACTTTTTTTTAATACAGTAATTATATCAAGACCTGGTTTATAGTTCACTTAAGGTTAAAAGTCATTAGTGTAGCAGCGAGAAGGAATGTCGGGTGTTGTGGCTGAAATAGGATTACCTCTAACCGTGTTACTCACCAGATTGACATCCTCTCTCTTCCTCCTCCTCCTCCTCCTCCTCCATTTCTTCTTCCGCCTTTCTATTTCTCCTCCTTCCCTCCTACTCTTGTTCTTCCTCCTCGGACATTACGTTATGGAGTCATATCCTGGGCTATAGAGTTGGTATGACTCCATTTTTGTAGTGTGTGTGTGTGTGTATAAATCATTTTAAGTGGCTATGAGTCAAGTGTTTAGCAATTCTGAACTACTGAATAGAACTCAAACAAACACACACACACACACACATGTATGTACGGTCATAATCAATCATGTTATAAAGTGAACAGTATTACTTGAAATAGTGTCAACATTCCACCCATGAACATTGCCAAATGTGTCACTTGATGGTAGCCCTTTAAAACCTTCATTGACTGTCTTATGTAAAGTTGTATTGGCATTGTTACTGCTAGGTATTGAGGAAGGTGTGTGTGGCGGTGGAGTGGGTGGGGCGGGGTGTGGAAGTGGGTGGGGCGGGGTGTGGGAGTGGGTGGCAACATGGCTAAGTTGAACTGGTTTCCGTGTTAATCCCGGCGTGTTGTAAGTGTCACGACCTTACTGTGTTGTGGATCACTCGGTCGTGCGCTTCCTCAGGCACCTACTACTGCCTCTTGTCACCTGCCTCACTGCTGCTGTCTACATGCACAAGATTCAGTATTACTTGTGTTAACAGTACTGTGACCACTTACCTCTCAGAGTGTATTGAAGTAATCACTATTGTACATCTCGAAATATTCAGGAATTGATAAGATATCTGAATGTGTGACCTTAATACACACACACCTGCACCAGCGTCATACCACCTGGGGGAGGTACGGGAATTAACACCCATGGGATATCATTGATTAGATGAATTTACAGAATCAAGGTATTGGGTGGTGGTGTTGACTACCCGTTGCAGGTGATCAGTGCTGTCACTTAATCAATCGAGTGAACATGTCTGTGTCGGTGCCTTTTCGGGGGTATCTTAGCGGCCTGCAGGCACCTCATTCCTTCTGGGCCACGTGCACCCCTACCCGGGGTTAGTATTAATTCATGTGTGTGTACTTCTGTGTGTGTCTAGACCTGCTTATGTACACCTGTTTGTGTAAACCTGTTCATGTGTAAACCTGTTGTGTGTTTACACCTGTTTGTGTGTACACCTGCTTGTGTTTACACCTGTTTGTTTTCAATTATTTGTGTGTACACCTGTTTGTCTACAGTACACCTTTTTGTGTGTACACCTGTTTGTCTATACCTGTTCATGTGTACACTTTCATGTTTAATTCTGGTTGTCTTGTTCTAGTTTTAAAATTGTGTGTGTGTGTGTGTGTGTGTGTGTGTGTGTGTGTGTGTGTGTGTGTGTGTGCGCCAGACCTCACATTTAAGTACAGTACCCATGTCCTGATATAATGACACTGGTCAATGTGTAGAATTAAGTGAAGGTTAACAGGTCTCCTTCTGGGAAGTGTCGTGGTATTGCTTCCTGCACTCCACGCACACTCACACACTGCTTCTCTCTTATACAGATGAATCATCACTAACTTGTCGTACAAGTCATGAGATCACGTGAAGATTGGCCACCCTAAAGCTAACCTTACCTAATGCTAAACTAACTTAGCCAAACCTACACTAACTTAACCTAACTCCATAAAGTAGCGATAATGTTGTTAATCTGAAAGTGAAATAAGTCATGAGGTTGAATCTTGAAATGATCCATCCTTACACCCCACCCAAGTCATTTTCCGACTTCCTCAATGTTGCAGCGTTCAATGTAGAAATCACTTCCGGTCTGTGAGTCGACTTATTGAGGGAGGTGACTTTCTCTGTCACTGAGGGTCAGATATAGAGCTGCCAACACACAGATAATTGTTGTGGTTGGAGGGAATTTAGTTTAGTTTAATGTAAATTGATGTACTGTAGTGTGTTATTGAAATTTGGATGATGGCTTTAACAAATAAAATTTAAAAATTTCCTGAAAAGTTGCAGATTGTATCTATCACATAGATGGATCACCTGCAGATTAGCCCCCCAGCTTATTTTACCTGAAGATTAAATACCTTAATCCCCCCCCCCGCCCCAAATTTGTTTTATCGTCAGGTGAAGTAAGCAAGGGTGTCTGATCTTCAGGTGATCTTTTGACAACCAATTTTCTTTGTCAGTTAATTCTAGATATCAGAGAACAGGAAATATCTGTCGAGTTAAAGTATTGTACTTCTTGGTATTATTTATAATTGTGTAGAATTTAGTACAATATTGTAGTTGATGGAGTATTAATTTATATGATGACTATACCCAATGCCTGTGACAGTGTATCATTATTACAGTATGTTCTTCAAAATGTTTTCCATGTGTTGCAGAGTACTGTCTTACAACATGTATAGCTTCCCTAGTATACAGTACATTATTTATTTTATTGATAAACATTTTTCTTTATTTTACAATATTTTTAATGAGTACGACGTTTGCCCACAGTGTACCTGGCAGAAGAACTCGAAGAGCCAGAATTCCAGTATGTTCCTGAAGCTCTGCCCAACAGTGTCAGTGTGGGGGTGTCAGGTCAGACAGCCCCTCTCCATGAGTCTATGCTCTTACTCTCTGAGGGTCTAGAGGCAGGATCCTTGGTGGCACAGTTTGAACAGTTGTATCGCCGTAAACCTGGGCTCACTGTCACGGAAGCCCGCAGACCAGACAACGAGAAGAAAAACAGATATCGTGACATTTCTCCATGTAAGTTTGTCCTGTTTAGATTTTTTGAGTAGGATCAGTCTCCAAACTTTTTGTAACTTACTGTTAAACTCTCAGTGATAATAATCTTATGTTTCATGAATAGTAATACGTACTGTAATATTTAGTTAATACAAGTATACTGAAATAGGAAGAAAATCATGAATGTAATACAGGAAACTTATTTAAGGTTATATTTTAAATATAATTAGATAAATGACCCAATGTGTATTGTAGTGTGCTGTCCTCTCACCCATCTTCCTTCTGCCCCCCAGATGACACAACTCGAGTCATTCTCACCAATGCCGTGTCCGGCGACTATATCAATGCCTCCTACGTCAACATGGAAATTCAAGGGTCGGGAATCATCAATCGCTATATTGCCTCTCAGGGTCCACTAGCGGGGACTTGCACCGACTTCTGGCAGATGGTGTGGGAACAGCAGTCAACACTTATAGTGATGCTGACAACAGTTGTGGAGCAGGGGAGGTATGATGTCTGATTTTATATTTATTTATCATTTCTGCTACTTATCATCTTATTAGCTGTTCAGGTGGTTGGTCTGTTTGTTACTCTGTTATGACCTTCATTATCCAGTGTTAGTACAGGAGGAAACTGTAGTACCCAGAGAAAACTTGCCGTGTAGGTTACTGTTACACTGGATAACACCCTTCTCACATCTGTCCCAGGGGTTTAAACCCAGGACCATAGTAGTGACAAGGTGAACATGAATAAATGATACATGTTAGTATGAATACTCTTACATACTGGGGTATTTTTAATCATTGCAATACATATATACTCAATACAGTACAGTAATTAGTATAAATATTGTATACTTTACTGCCATATATTTAGTTATTATACAATATTACATTTATATTAGTACTGTTTGGGGAATATTATACAGTATAACTATTATTATTCATATAATAACTGGTGATGTAATGTATTACTTACATGTTAATTCTCATCTTCCAGAGTTAAATGCCACAGATATTGGCCCAGACTTTACGAGACAGTAGACTTTGGTACCCTACAAGTGACCTGCCTGAAGGAGGAGGAGACACCAGGTTTTGCATTTAGAGAATTTACTCTCATCAACACAGAGGTTAGTTGGTGACTCTCTTATTTATCGCCCTGGGAGAATATTTGGAGTATATTTGTTCTTGATTTGTGTTATTGTTCACTTCTTTAGAGAATGATATCCTGAAAGAACATTGATTTCAAGAATGATTTACCTTTACCTGTGAAATACCTGTAGCTGTACCTGTTTTTCTAGATCACCTGAAGATTAGGTACCTTAGCTTATTTGATGTGATGATTAACGAAACTAAACCAACTCAGGTGTGCTTTATCAATAAGTTATACATGAATGCCAGTACAGTAATATACATATTATCTTCATACAGTACCAACCGTCCTTCATCCCTCACAGATATTTTATTAAAAACCTTAAGTTTATCTGAGATTTTGTTGTTGTTACAGAACCAAGATGAGCGTCACATCACCCACATGCAGTATCTGGCGTGGCCTGACCATGGCGTGCCAGAAGACTCCACAGATTTTCTAAACTTTGTTGCTCAGGTTCGACAGGCAAGAACAGGTGAGTCGAGTTATATATTTAAAGATGTGATTTTTTTTAATGTTTATTATATTGTGATACAACAATTGTACATAATGATATGTCATGACAGAACACTTGTACATCATGATATATTGTGCTAGAACAATTGAACACTATGATATATTTTGATAGAACATTTGTACATTATGATATACGTACTGTACTGTACTGAAATAGACTCGGCAGCAGAACATTTAAAACTTTATGCACTACTTTAGTATCACCTGAGATAGATGTTCCATAAGAATTACAACTACAATATTTACCAACACTAAAAGAGATTATCCAAAATTTATATATGGATGACTATGCTTCACCAGTATGTTATAATTATGTAAAGAGAACATAATGATAGCTGGTGTATCATTCGAACACTTGAGTATAATGCCATTGTACTCAAGGGGTCAGTTATGATACACAAGGGATTAGGACATCATACTCAAGGGGTTAAGACAGACCTCAAGCAGCTAAGGTCTTGAAAATATAAAAAAAGACATAACATTATTTGTGGTTAATTACTGTTGTTAAAATTACAGGCATGGTAGAACCCACCATAGTCCACTGCTCTGCCGGCATCGGGAGAACAGGAGTACTAATCCTCATGGAAACTGCTCAGTGTCTTATTGAGGCGAATGAACCAGTTTATCCCCTCGATGTTGTGAGATCAATGAGGGATCAACGAGCCATGATGATCCAGACAGCTGTGAGTCTTAAGTGATTTGTTGCATGTACTTTGTTGGATGTACTTTGTTGTTATACTACAGTAATGATGATATGTGAAAAGTTATAGGGATCGCCTGAAGATTAGTCTCCTCCCCAAGTTTAGTTCACCGTTAGATTAACCACTCTTAACCTAACATAATGTCCTCCTATTCTATCCTAAGTTAACCTAACATATTATAACTTTAACTAATTTAACCTCCCTCCCCCCAGGCAGCATTAGGGTATTTAATCATCAAGTGAAATAAGTTGGGGTGGTTAATCTTCAGGTGATCCATTTACTGATACCTAAGAATGAGTGAATGTGTTTGTTTGTCCGCATGTATATTTGTGTGTTATGTTTTATGTTTGTCTTTTGGTAAACGATATGTGAATGGATGTGTGCTTGCCTGTATGTTTGTTGTGAAGGAAAATATGCAATGAATTTCCTATATATTATGGCTAATTATTAAATTCTTATTATTTTTCTTTTGCAGAGTCAGTTCAGATTTGTATGTGAAGCAATTCAGCGAGTGTACTCTGAAGGTCTTGTCAAACCCTTGGCCGAGTACCAGCAAAGATGAGATGTTGGGTAATGTGCACAAGTGGTGACATTAAAAAGAATATTATTGTTGTACATATCCTGTGCTGGAGGATGAGCTGTACATTAACCAACAAGGGATTGTGATGTGAATATATGTGAAGCAGTGTTATGAGAGAACTGGAAATCCTCTGAGAAAATAACCAGGAAATTGCAGAAAGCACAAAATTTGGAAACATTGGGTTGTATATACAAAAATCTGCAGTACGTATATGTGAAAGAAAAATGATCTATAAAAAAAATCCTAGTTGTCCCAGAGAGTATGAATCTGTCTGGGGTCTGATGCAACCTTTTATGAAGAAGAGCCAAGGCCAAGATTTTTATAACAGCGCAGTACATCAAAAACATGTGCTGTAGCAACGACTCTGGTGTAAGATGTGTTGATAATGAGCCTCCTGTAAGATTATGTTAGGCTGTTTACAACTTGAGGCTATTTGGTGGATATTTCCTCAATAGTGTCGTTGGTGGCCCCAGTTACTGCAGAGAGAAACATCAAAATAATACTTGCTCAAGACTTTGCTATCCACCAAACATCTCTTGCAGCAATGATGGAGAACAAATGAAAGACTTTCTAGATTTCTAAATATTTGTACTTTTACCGACACACCTTAGAGTGTGTGACTGAAACACTGTGAGTGTACAGTACATGCATAAGATGGTTACCAAGATGCCTGTACATAATGTTTCATTGGAATGTGAACACTGTAGATAACATGAGACTTTTCAAAAGACAAATCATAGCCCTCGTGGTGTTTCTACTCCAAGGATATTTTCTACTTATTAGTGAAAATAACGTAGTGTACACATGAGATAATCTGATCCCCACCTTACCCTCCTCACCACTCAAGCCTTGTGAACCATGATACAAATTCTTAAGTCATCATTATATTACTAATGATACCACCAGGTGTGTCCTCGGCACTCTCTTATACTAAATATTACTGTGAAATTTTAACCTGATATATTTGTTGGACTTTTCAGTGATAACTTAAGAATTTTTTTCATGTCCACTGCCAGATCTTTCTCTTGTCTGCTGGGGTCATCACCATCATGTTCAGGGAAATGAAACCCTTAACCAGTCAGGCACTAGTGTAGATTATTATTATTATTGAATTAACTGCCTTATAAATTGCTTCCAATCAGGCAGGTCATTCAAAAATCTAATTAATTACTTGAAGTTTGAAATTAATTTGAAGAATCATGGACAGTTGTGGAAGGCAATGTAATACAACACCACATTACAGGGTATATTCACCACAGTGCCTGTCCCCCAAGGTGTTGAACTATCTTCATAAGCTTTATATCTTGACTGGTAATGAGTCCATTAGTTCCCCCAAGCAGTACAAGAGTCAGCCATTACCCTCTCACAGTCCTGGGACCCACATGTGCCTTCCTCTTGTCATGAGAGCCTGACTCAAGCAACCGACAATCCCACACTGGTGATGCACACAGTCACCTTCCCATAAATTGAAGCTGTTTTTTATTTATTTATTTATTTATTTATTTATTTTTATATAGTGTTGCACAGCAAAGTGCCTCTGACTTACGACATAGAGGAATAATTATCCTAAATCTTGTAGTGCCAGAGGTAAAACTTCAATTATTAGTGTGGAAGTTTTAAAATATCCTTACAAACTGTTTGGATTATTCAGGAAATGTCCAATTGCCTTGTAGGCTTTTTAATACATAAATACAATTCATGGACAACTTTGGGTGCTGTGTGCCCCTCTACCACTCAGGGTGTAATAAACACACATAGACAACACACAATTGCCTTTGGTACTAATTAAATGTGAATTTTTTTTCATTTAAGGTAATTACCATGTAAAGGTGTCAGTTGTGTAGAACAATGCAAGATAGTTTGTGTGTGTGGTAATCCTGGTCATTATTGCTCTATTTGTCTTCATTTTCATTCTGTTAATTTAAATTATGAAGGAAATATTTCAAAAACAACTTCATTGTTACAATTTCTCTCCCAACTGGCTAGAGGTTACACCTTTATAAAATGAAAACTACAAGTTCCAAAACAAAACAAACATTGAATCTCACAATTGATGCATTTCCTATGAAGATATAACTCCTGTACATAGAAAAGAGTTGAGTCTGGCAAGCTTTAAAGGCCCAGCATTATCTGCTACACAGGTTACTGAGACAAATGTTTGCCTCAATCTCTAACCAAATATTCAGAATTGTTCAGTACTATAAACAGAAGGAAACTTATTATTTGTAAACTGAAAAATATGGTCGTCTGTTACTTTGCCAAAGAAATAAAGGGGTCTGACCTTTATTCTGGGTTAATTCTTATTGTAGTCTTCCCCAATATGTGAAGACTATGCCCCACATACATTTTGTTTGCCTGTATTTGATCCCTTTTTTACCTATTTTTTTTCTTCAGTATATTGACTGGTATGTCAGATCCCTCTTAAGTTATAACACTGTGATTTTATCCTCATGCATGATAACATGAAAAATTTTAATTTTCGTTATTTGAATTGTGGTGGAATGAAAGACATGCAGGTTACAAAGTGACTGCAACTGACATTTTGTTTGTTGCTTTGTGATCACTGAATAATGGGTGTAAGCTTAGAAGTACAGTATTTTCGTTGTACCATTTTCCTAATACAGTGAAACCTCCATATAACGGACTTCTCTCTCCATGTAATCCGTGAGATGAGTTTTTACATCTAATGTACCCTCAATATAACGGACTTTCTTCTCTATATAGTTCATTAGATGGAAGTTTTACATCTAACGGTCCTATCATATAACGGATTTTGTTCACCATATAGTCCATTAAATAGAGGTTTCACTACACATGGAATTAAAATGTTGCGAGTTTCTGATGCTAAATTTATTAGGCAGATAATGTATGTATACTGTACAGCTGACCGACGATCACTGCCAAATGCGTTGGTCACTGCAATGTAAATGGTTTAGTTATATATATATATATATATATATATATATATATATATATATATATATATATATATATATATATATATATATATATATATATATATATATATATATATATATATATATATATATATATATATATATATATATATATATATATATATATATATATATATACACACACAGTATAAGTTATACCCTGTTTGTCTTATTTTAAGTCTTGGTAATGTAAATGAGTGTGACAGGGAACGTGTGTTGTATTGGACATAAATGAGCAATAAAGTGAAGTGGTTTGTAATGGCTGGTATTATTTTGGTCACCAACTTTACAAATTTTCCTCCAGGTAAATGTACACCTACCAAAAACAATCCTGTCCTCTCTCCCATCCATGATCCCTGAGACTCATGAACCAGTGAATCCAAGACATCACACAGTGCACCATCTATAGACCCAACAATGTGTGGTGTCTTGGATTCACAGGTTCATGAGTCCCAGGGTTCATGGATGGGAGAGAGTACTTGACAGGAATTTTTTTGGGTGGGTGTACAGTATAATGTCAAGGTTCAGATACTGATTCATTTATGAGATAGAAACAGTGTCTTTCTTCCTGATGTTAAAACTAAACTACAAAGCTTGATGCCCTGGTCTGAACAATATCATACTCTTAGGTACTCAGTGGTACTCTTGTATACTCAGAAATTTGAAATGGTGTCTGAAGTAATTTATTCTATTTTTTGATTCACCAATGATGTGCTTCCTTTCCAACTCTTTCAGCTCACCCTTCAGGATAAAGCAACACAACCAGGGAGATACAAATGCTGACTATTATCAAGAGTGTTTTTTAGGGATTAAATTGAAACTTTGGATATTTGTGAAACATTCTTGGGCATTCATCTTATTTTAGTAACTAAATCCTAAGTTATAGGAGAGAAACTATAAAGTGTCCATCATCTAAAGGAATTGTTGAAACCTCTTTAGTTTTCTGTTGACCGAGAAATTAATATATTTAGCTGCTTCTGCACATCCAAAATAACAAAAATACTAAAAGATCACCTTAGTAAAATAACAAGTGCCTGGTAATTAATGCTGCAATTTATGTTTCCTCTAAGCTATACACCTGCCTGCAACAATAACCAATCTTGTGTCATATATTTAATATGTCCACCCACAACATATTGTAAGTGATGGTATCTTGATATGCCTATTTCATATGAAGTAAAATATCTTAAGCAGCATTAATTATCTTATGTTTGTATAATATTTCCCCTTTTTGCATATCTCTGGTAACTTTAAAACAAATCTATAATGTAATATATCTTTGATTCCTACTAGTGGAGTAACCGATGTACTTTCCCTTCATAATGGTGCTACATTATTAAATTTTGCTACATTACTTAAGACATATTGAAGCTGTTGAGAATAACCTTAAATGTATCAATACCAAGGCTTGAGATAACTGATGTTTGTTCAGTAACCAAAATGGGTTTAGTGTTGGATATACTGTACTGACATACAATATAGTTGGAAGACCTGTCACTTAAACTACACAAATGATCAGTGATTTAATTTAAAGTTTTGTAATAAAGATTCATACAGTACAAGTATACATAAAATATTAAATAAAAATATAATAATGTTCATAATAATAAAGGATCATAAATAAATACAAAAACTAATCAATAGTGAGAAACAAGATGTATGTTCTGTTGTCAAAGTAAGAGAAACAATTGGGCAGCAGGGTCTACCATTAGACAATAGATTTTGCTCCCAATATCTTCCCAGGCTGTATTACCTCCCTGTTTGAGAGCTGCCTTCTCCACAAACTAATTATCTCCACAGGTATAATAATAATAATATTGACTGACACAAATAATGGAGATAAGGCAGAAGGGTTGTGTGCAGTCAACCTGATTGCATCCTTCAGGTTACATTTGTTACCTTCTGCAGCACCCAAGATCTTCTCCTCCTCCTCCAGGGTTGTCATAAAGCAGGAGGAAGACAAGATGGAGGCAGAAGGTAGTCAACAAGTGGAGGCAGCAGGTGGAAGCAGCAGTACGTGACACCATCCAGCTGCATCTTGACTATACTGTACTCTCTATGTCTGAAATAAATTATCACAATAAATTCTCGTCTTTACTTTAAACTTAACATGACACACAAATAATAATAGTTTCAGTGTCAGGTCATGAGAAAAATAAATCTACCAGCCCAAATTGTGGTGGTAGACCAGTCTACCAGCCCAAGCTGTGGTGGTGGTAAACCAGTCTACCAGCTCAAGCTGTGGTGGTGGTGGTAGACCAGTCTACCAGTTCAAGCTGTGGTGGTGCTAGACCAGTCTATCAGCTCAAGCTGTGGTAGAACAGTCTACCAGCTCAAGATGTGGTAGCAGTAAACCAATCTACCAGCTCAAGCTGTGGTAGGACAGTCTACCAATTCAAGCTGTGGTAGCAGTAAACCAGTCTACCAGCTCAAGCTGTGGTAGGACAGCCTACCAGCTCAAGCTGTGGTAAGACAGTCTACCAGCTCAAGCTGTGGTAGGCCAGTCTACCAGCTCAAGCTGTGGTAGCAGTAAACCAGTCTACCAGCTCAAGCTGTGGTACGACAGTCTACCAGTTCAAGCTGTGGTAGGACAGTCTACCAGCTCAAGCTGTGGTAGACCAGTCTACCAGCTCAAGCTGTGGTAGGCCAGTCTACCAGCTCAAGCTGTGGTAGGACAGTCTACCAGCTCAAGCTGTGGTAGGCCAGTCTACCAGCTCAAGCTGTGGTAGGCCAGTCTACCAGCTCAGGCTGTGGTAGGACAGTCTACCAGCTCAAGCTGTGGTAGGCCAGTCTACCAGCTCAAGCTGTGGTAGGCCAGTCTACCAGCTCAAGCTGTGGTAGGCCAGTCTACCAGCTCAGGCTATGGTAGGCCAGTCTACCAGCTCAAGCTGTGGTAGCAGTAAACCAGTCTACCAGCTCAAGCTGTGGTGGAGGTGGTAGATCTATGTGCCCGGGTGGACCACTTTCCATTAATATAAATATATATTAATAACATCAAGATTATCTTGTATATTCTCATTTCGTACACGGATCATATGAAGATCTTCCCCCCCAAAGTATCCAACTGAAGATCCTCCCCCCCAGGCTAGATCATATGAAGATCTTTGGGGGGGAGGTTAGGTTAGGTTTGGTTAGGTTAGGTTAGGTTAGGTTAGGTTAGGTTTGGTTAGGTTAGGTTTGGTTAGGTTAGGTTTGGTTAGGTTAGGTTAGGTTAGGTTAGGTTAGGGGGGGTGGATCTTCAGATGAGCGCGACTGGGCTTGATCATATGAAGATCCTCCCCCCCAGGCTAGATCATATGAAGATCCTCCCCCCCAAGTAGGTTTGGGGGGGAGGATCTTCATATGATCCTCGTACACATATAATACTTCACGTCATAGTCAGTGAGGAGTGAAGCTCTGAAAAGAACCAATGAGCGGTTCATGGTCTGACCCAAGGCTACTTCAAACCACTCGTTTGTCTGCGGCCCAGGCGAACAGACGTGTCCACTCTCTCCCCACCTCCACCTAGCCTCGCCACTCCCACCAAGAAAACAGTGCAAAAGTGACGATTTCAATTCGGAAATAATTGGAAAATAATAACAGTAAAGTGGTAGATGGAAAACATAATCAGCCTACGTCACCAACAAAATATAACTGAATAACAAAACATAGTTGTAGAAGCACTTAGCAATTATCGCCTACGAATTTCAACTTCTTAAAAAATTGACTGAGATGTCGCCCAAGGGAAAAAAAAAAACATGCATCATCTTTCGGAGCTTATATCCTTGGGTTACGCGCTTCATGTGACACCTTGAAATATATTGATGGAAGGAATGGGTACTGGACATTAACTAGCAGTAAGTGCCATTAGCCGTGAACGAGTGGGACGAGGAGAGGCCGGAGCGGGACCCGGTGTTTTCAAGTGACGTGTGGAACAAGACTTAATTTGGGATTAGTTTACGCCTCAACAAAGTTTACTTGATAATACAGTATGCACGGAACATGTCTCCAGGAAACAGGTAGTGTATACTGAAACTTTCTGGTGCAAATTACGTATAAGCAAGATATTTAACATTTTATTATGTATGCTCGTATGTGGCAGGGCACTTTGGACCCCCCCCATTAGTTAGTTTTTCCGATGGTTTGTGGTGTATTTTGAAAACTTTTCACCTTTCTTTTTACGGCAAATCCCCAGATTCTGAGATGGGAGGTGGGGAGGGGGCTATCTCAGAAACTATTGATTTGAGACAGAAATGAAGGTCACATTCGTTTAAAGCCACATCACAAACCATGGGGTACATGGTTTCAACTTTGATTTGGTAAAGTCCCCGCCCCTCACCATAGTACCTCACCACACACCCCAGCCACTCACCACGCCCCCAGCCCCTCACCAGCACCCCCCTACCCCTCACCACACTCCCAGCCCCTCACCACACCCCCAGCCTCACCACGCCCCCAGTCTCACCAGCACCTCCCAGTCCTCACCAGCACCTCCCAGTCCTTCACCACACCCCAGTCCCCTCCCCACGCCCCCAGCCCCTCACCATAGCCCCACACACCCAGCCCTCACCACACCCCCAGCCCCTCACCACCCCCCAGCCCCTCACCACGCCCCCCAACCCCTCAACACCCACGCCCCCAGCCCCTCACCACGCCCCCAGCCCTCACCACGCCCCCAGCCCCTCACACGCCCCCAGCCCCTCACCATAGTCCTCACCACCCCCCCCAGCCCCTCACCACGCCCCCAGCCTCACACCACGCCACCCAGCCCCTCACCACGCGCCTCACCACACCCACTATCCCCTCAGCAGCACCCCCAGTCTCACCACACCCCAGCCTCACCACACCAGCCTCACCACACCCCCCAGCCTCACCACACCCCCAGCCTCACCACGCCCCCCAGCCCCTCACAACACCCCCCCCCCTCACAACACCCCCAGCCCTCACCACGCCCCCCAGCCCTCACCATAGTCCTCACCACACCCCCAGCCTCACCACACCCCCAGCCTCACCACACCCCCAGCTCACCACACCCCAGCCCCTCGCCAAACCCCCACCACACCCCCCAGCCCTCACCAGCACCTCCCAGCCTCCTCACCAGCACCTCCGCCCTCACCACCCCAGCCCTCACCACACCCCTCACCACACCTCAGCCTCACCACACCCCCCAGCCTCACTCACACCCCTCACCCCCTCACCACCCCTCAGCCTCACCACACCCTCAGCTCACCACACCCCCCAGCCCCTCATCACACCCCAGCCTCACACACCCCAGCTCCT